CTGACGGCGAGGTCGGGCGGCGCCGGCGCGGCCCGGGGCCGCGGCGCCGCGCGCGCGGGCCGGCCCATCGTCGCGTGGCTCCGCCGCGGCGCCGCGCGCGCGGCCGCGGGCGCCGCGGCGTCCGCGGGCGCGGGCGCCGCCGCGCCGACGGCGAGGTCGAGCTCGTAGGCCGGCGGCGCGTCGTCGGCGGCGCGCGCCCGCGCCCGGGGCCGCCGCGGTGCCTCCGCGGGCGCGGGCGCGGCGCGGCGCCGCGGCGCCGGCGGATCCTCGTCGAGCCGCGCGCCCGCCCAGCGCGGCTCCGGCGGCGGCGGCGGCGGCGGCGCGCGCGCCGCGCGCGCGACGCGCGGCACGGCCGCCTTGCGCTCCGGCGCGGCGCGCGGCCGCGGCGCCGCGGGATCCGCGGCGAAGACGCGCGACTCGATGCGCGCCGCGGCGCCCTCGACGTCCCGCCACGCGCGCAGCAGGCCCCGCGCCTCCTCGAGCGACCCCGGGCCGTCGCCGCGCCGCGCGGGGCTCCGCGGCTTGCGCGGCGGCGACCCGCCGCGCGGCGCGGCGACGCGCGGCGGCCGGTTCTCGTCGCCGGCTTCGACGACGACGCGGCGCGGCGCGGCGGCGCGGCGGCGCGGCGAGTCGTCGGCGAGGCACGGCGAGTCGTCGGCGAGGAACGGCGAGTCGTCGGCGAGGAACGGCGAGTCGTCGGCGAGGAACGGCGACGGCTCCGGAGCCTCGAGGCGGAAGGACAACGGCTCCGGAGCCTCGACGAGGCGGAACGACGACGGCTCGTCGCCCCAGGGGTTCGACGTCGGCCGCGGCGGCTTCGAGGGCTGCTGGAACAGGTGCTTGCGCGCCGCCAGCGCGTCCGCGTCCTTCTGGATCTGGTCGATCCACCCGCGCAGCTCGACGATCGACTCGCGTGGGCCCGCCATGGGCTGCCGCGTTTGCCGCCAAACTGTTATACTGAAGCCGACGGTGCTGTGGAGCTGGACACCTTGCATCGATGTTGCCGCAGCTCGCGAAGCAGCCATCTCTGAGACACCCGCGCCCAGCTCTGCTCGCGCGCGACCGGGAGCTGCGCGACCGGGTGCTGCACCGGCGATGCAGCGCGACTCGGCCGTGCCGCGGCCGATCCAGCGGAACATCAATGCGACGGCGGCGGACCTGGACATGAACTGGCGGCGCGGGGCGCCGGCGCCGGCGCCGGCGCCCGCGGCGCGGCCCCCGGCGCCGCGGCTCGCGGCGCCGAAGGAGAGCCCCTGGGGCGCCGTGCCCGCGGCGCCCGCCGCGGACCTGCGGTCTGGCGGCGGCGGCGGCCCGGCGCCGCGGCCGGCGGCGGAGCGCGCGCCCGCGGCGCGCGCGAGCGCGCGGGGCAGCCGCGGCGCGCGCGAGGGCGGGCGGCCCGGCCGCGAGGCCGGCGGCGCGGCGCGGCGGGGCGGCGACGCCCCCCGCGCGTCGCCGGAGCGGCGGCCGCGCGACGCGCCGCGGCCGCCGCCGTCGCCGCCGCGGCCGCCGTACGTGCCGCCGCCGGCGCCGTGGGCCGGCGCGGCGCGGGCCGCGCGGCCCGCGGCGGCGCCGACGCGCGACTTCCCGACGCTCGGCGCGGCGCCGCCGCCGGCGCCGCCGCCGGAGCCGCCGCGCGCGGCGCCGCCGCGCGCGCCGGAGCCCGCGGCGCCGCGCGACCGCGCCGTCGCGCGCGGCGCCGCGGCGCCGCGGAACCCCTGGGGCGCGCCCGGCGGGCCCGCGCCGCCGGCGCCCGGCGGCGACTTCCCGGCCCTCGCGCCGCCGGCGCGCAATTCGCCGCCCGTCGTCCTCGCCGCGCTCGACAAGCCCGCGGGCGCCGGCTATCTGAAGCCGAAGCCGCAGGCGAACTTCGTCGTCTTCGACGTCCTCACGAGCAAGCTCAGGCAGAAGGCGCCGCGCGGTAAGAAGGCGCCGGAAACACCGAAGCCGGCGCCGGCGCCGGCGCCTAAACCGCCCGGCGCCGACGACGACCGGCCCGCGGCGCCCGACAAGGTCCGGAAGAAGAAGCTGAGCTCGCTGAAGAAGCGCATCCTCCTCGAGCGCGCGGAGCGCTGGTACGAGCTCCACCCCGAGGCGCGGCCCGCGCCGACGATCCGCGACGAGGCGACGAGCGGGGCCTTTGCGGACGCGACGGGCGTCGGCCGCCGCTTCGTCGTCCGCGTCGACAACGTCGCGACGCGCGGCGAGCTCGAGGACGCCGAGGAGCGCGACGAGATCCTGCGGGACGTGGGGTGCCTCTGCAGCCACCTCGCGCCCGTCGTCGCCGTCGAGGTCGCGCCCGCGGCCGCCGGGACGGCGGACGACTTCGCGCCCATCGACGTGTCGTTCGCGGCGCGCGACGACGCGGCCGCGGCGCTCGCGGGCCTCGAGCGCCGCGTCGTCGGCGGCGTCGCCCTGCGCGCCGCCGAGCGGCCGCCGTCGCCGCCGCCGGACTCCATATCGACGGCCGCGCGCGTCTTCGGCGCGCTCGACGCCGACGACGCGGCCGACGCCGACGCCGTCGACGAGACGCGCGACGATCTCGCGCGGCTCGCGGAGGCCTACGGCCCCCTCGCGGCGCCGCCGCGCCTCGAGCCGTCGCGCGTCGCGGCCCTCCGCGGGTGCCTCGACGCGGTCCTCGACTTCGGCGACGCGCGCGCGGCCGCGCGCGCCGTCGCGGGCCTGGGGCGGACGACGATCGGCGGCGCGACGCTCCTCTGCGACGTCGAGCCGGTGCCCGGCGACTCCGTTGCCGTG